GTACTTCAAAAATCTTTTCAGTGAATTTTTCTTTTTAATTATAAAAAGTTTAGAGTGCGAAATGAAATTTCCGAGGTGCTAATAACAATTCCTAAAAAAATATATTTCTAAACTAAGAGTATGGAAAGTGGAAGACCAAAAATGTATCAGATAGTATTATTAATTTGTTTTACAAAATTGCAACAAGTTATGTGACGACCCGTCCCAATTGTCATTATAATTTTCTCCTCGAGTATGTGAGATGACGATTATGTCCTCGGTGGCTTAGTGACGTGGATGTACATATGCAGTTTTAAATAATCTTCCTCACTATCGTAATTAAATTGTACTCGACGTCACGAGCGCGTCAATGCGAGTTAGGGTCGAATCGGATTCCTAATGAAAATGTTATAACGATTAACTAACGAGTTAGGATAGACATATATTGTTGGGTTGACTATATTTTATTCACCAATCAATTAGTTCTTGTCATGTCTAGCCCAATCAAATTTTAGGTTGAATTGTTATTTTCCTTGGGCTAATTGGACCCTAAAACTCTCTTTCTTTCTCTTTCTCACGGCAGCCCAATCAGGGCCTTACTTCTTTTCTTTCTGGCCAATTTGTGACCACACACACGTATCCCTCACCCTTTCCTTCTTTCTCAATTCTTCTTCTAGTTTGTACAACCTTGAGACCACCACACTCAAACCATACTAAAACATCACGGATCGAGTCCTTGGACACTAGCATCATCCTCCTCACAACCTCACGAACTCATTCACACCTTTTGTTCATTGAACGGTTGTCGGAAACATAAGAACCCAGAAGCTTCAACATAGTGGGTTTTTAGGACGTCGTGATCGTGGGCGATTTACACGATTTTAAGGCTCGGGATAGACTCTAAACAACTCCCTTAACATCTTGGAGTGAAATTGGAGTGGTTCAGACATCGGAACACACGGGTTCGTGAAGTTGTAGAGTTGGCCGGAGGTATCGAAGGAAATTTCGATCATTTTCCATTGGTTTTAGGACCTCCAATAGGTATGGATGTGTACTACTCTTCAAGACCTTCAAATCCATATAAATTTCATGGATTTTGGTTGAGAATTGAAGAAGATATTGAACTTTGAAATTTTTCCAGAAACCGACGAACCAGACGGCAGACTCCGGCAAGTCACCGGAGAAGAAGGAACATATTTCGTTAACTTTAACGAAATATTGTAACGGTGTCAGGTAATTTTAACAGGATATTCTACTAATTTGACAGAATATTCCTTAACGCCGTTAGGGGTTCCGTCAGTGTGCCTGCGAGTGTGGCTGTGCCTTGGCCAACGCGTGGAGGCTCGTCTGACATCCAAATTTTTTTCTAAAAATATGGGGGTGTTCGTGTTGTCGAGTATATCATCTTGGTATATTCAAACGCCCCATTTGAGCAACATATGAGAAGTTATTCCTAGGGTTTGTGCATGTGCTTTAAAATTAACGTAAAATTAGTTATTTCGCATATAGGTGAAACGTACCCCGATGATGAGCATGGACAAGCGAGATTGGGGGGCTACGATCCTGCTACTTATCAGTGAGTGGGCATTTGCTTTCTATATATATATCGTGGTTTCCAGAACATTTTTTAAATGATTTATGCTTTAAATGCCATGTCGAAAATGAGTTGCATTTTAAGTATTGCATTATTATAAATCATGAATCATATCATTTGATGCTGCAGAGGCTCAGGTAAGCTTCAGGTGAGTATATTGTTATGGTATTGGTTGCATGACACATTGTTATGCATAAATGCATTTAGAGCTCATCATTGATGCACCCTGGTGTTAGTGTTTCCGCTCGAGGCCAGGGCACAATCCTTCACGTGATGTTCACCTCCCACACCACACGCTCACCTTGGATCCAAGTTTGGTGCCAGCCCTGTCTTACATACCATAATAGGTGGTTTCGACTTGTAGGTGACTCTCGATTATTCGCACAGCCTTGATGTGATCGTAGCACTTGAGCGTACATATTTACACCCAAACATAGGTGGTTCCAACTCGTGTGCCAGCATATATTGATGAGCTATAGATCTAGTCGTACAGGTCACATTAGGTGACTCTGACTGACATATTATTTTATATTGATTTCACCTGGCTTACATCTTTTAGTGCGAAAACGTTATGGCATGGCATACTCCAGTTTTTACTGGGCTTGTGCATTGGTATTCGTATGTATATACGTAGTATTATTTTCTGGAACTATACGAGTTTTACAGTGAGGGGTTATTATGTTCAGAAAAGATAAATGTGTTTTCAAACGTTTTGTTTTTGCCCACTCACCCTTCTGTTTTGCGCCCTTCAGTTGTACATCTTGGTGGCTCACAAGGACTTCTCAGTGGTTCTGACGATCTACTAAATATTGTAGGGATCTTCTCCTTGTTTGTACAATTAATACTTAGTTAGTTCGACTGCACTTTCGTTTACCTATGCTCTGATATGTGTGTATCTTATACTTGATCACTTTCACGCACTTACATATTATCTCTAGTTTAAGTAAGTTTAGTTTTGGTTTTTACATAGTTGCATTTTCTTATTATTATCATCACTTCTGTTGCGTACTTGGCTACGTCACCTTCACGTGACGGCCAACATGTCTCGACTTCGGTCAGGGTGTATCAAGTTATATGAGTTATCCAAACAACATAATTAGACATTCTGTCATTTAAATTCCATCAAATATATAAGCTTTTATGAAAATTTAAATTTCATTAGTTTAGAATTTCTAGTAATTTATAATTTGTTCGTTTAAACAATAAATATTATTGGGTCGTTTAAGTGCATTTAAAAAAAAAATTTGGATTACAAAAGCACTTAAATGTGCTTCATGGAAGAATCATTAGCTGTGTTTTTTTTTAGGAAGCATTTTAAATATCATATTAGGATTCACTTACATTTTTATTAAAAATTGGTTACAAAAACATTACCACAAATAAATAATGCTTTAAGGAATTATAAAAACACTTTTAAAGGAGCCAATTAAGAATTCCATTTTCTTCACAAACAGTCTCAACTCCCAAGAATATCATTGGGCCCCTTATATTAACAGCCCAATTTAGAAAAGCCGAGCTCCAGACGGGAGGGTTTTGTTACGAAAAGCGAGTTGCTGGCGCGCGAACCAAAATATTCGATCCGGTCCGGCGAAACAAACAAACAAACAGATGAATCGGAAAGGGAAAGTTCAGATGAAGGTTTAGTTACTTTCTTGCTTATTCTGATTCTATGTGGGTTTTCTTTTCTCGTGCAACATCCATGAATATTTTCTGTTGTTGAAAGTTGAAGAATTTAAAGTGATGCTGTAAACGCATAGGATTCTCGCCCCTCGAATTTCTCTCCCTTTCTCCTCTCCTCTCGCACATTATTTTTTGTCTTCTTGTTTCTATAACAAAAATCAATATAAGATGTTAATGTAGCTTAACCGTAATCGTTCAAGGAGGAGGGGAAAGAAGAGGGAGAGAGATTAGGAAAGAAGAAAATTCGCTCTGCATAGATGTGGTGTGGATAAGTTCCATAACCACAAAGCAAAAAGTTTGACCAACAAATTTCAACCACAACTTGGTGTTAGTTGTGAGATTGTTTAATGTAATTTCAGTAACCTACTGAAATACTAGCTGTTATAGCACTGAACTTGTACTTTAGGGATGATGGAATTATTAAAGTTATTCAATTTGATGTTATTGAGCTGATGTTATGCATGCAAAGTTCCGATTCTTGAAAAAAAAGTTACGGAGTGGGAACCACAAGAAAGTGCGTCAAAATGTCTGTCCCCCTCATCCTGAACCATATATATTGTAGGTCTTCTTCCGCATTATATTTCAAACGATCCAACAGTTTTCTACCGACAATTAGACAAATCAAATCAGAAACCATATGACCGTTTGGATTAAATGGTAGACATTTTAGTGTTTCTTTGCCCAAAGGAAAAACTCTCAGGGATTAATATAATTGCTTCTTTAGATTGAGAAAGATTACAGTCAGTTCTCTTCTTGTTTTCTTATGATGAGTACCTCATTGCTTGTTATTTCTTGACTACTCCTCCAATATTTTGCACTGTGCTTCTTCTGCCTCTTGTCTCGTACTCTGTGTGTGTGTCATGCGTGCGGGCGTGCGTGCGTTATTGAGGAGTTAAGTTAAAGAAAATTATATAGGCTCACTATGGTATACCCAGTTTAAGATAGTTTGCAGGTGTTATATTAGTTTTAACTATTTTTTTTTCTTACGCATGCAAATTTCTTGCGTTCAGTAAATAATTCTTAGGGTACGTTATATATCAAAAGAGGTAGCATGCCAGGATAATCCCAACAGAATAATAAGTCAAATCCATCCTGTGAGATGAACATATCATCAAGATTCATCAAAAAATATTTTGGCTTCATCAGGGATTGTACTTTCTGATGATACTGTGGATGATGATACGAGGGACATGTAGTATGAGTTGGAGGCAAGCTTCCTCGATAAATGAACACATACGTGAATGCAGTCAAAGAGTGTGTCACTTGTGGCATCTAATCTATGATGGATGAGACCGGAGGTGGCATCTTGGTGGAGGATAAGCCAAGAGGTGATCGAGATTCTTAGGGTCCTTCCTGGAGTTGAAGAGAAGATGAGCATACTTGTTATCTTCCAAATTTTATGCAAGAATAACATAGCGTTATTCATGGCCTTTAATGATCCTCATGCTCAGATTGATTGGCTTAAGAAATTTATGGAGCGAATGCCTCTAGTCGTTCGTCTCCCTTTCTCTGTACCTGTTGAATCTAGTAAAGCATCACTTGTGTTTCTTAAGAGTTGTATTAATTACGATGTTAATTCTTAGGCGTTTTTGTTGTCAAACTCACATTGATGATGCAGTCGGCTGTGTTATGACTCATGAGTCTGTTTTCTGATTCGCTTTTCTAAGAAAAACCAAAGAAAAACTGTACCGTGTTCCATCTCTTGAGAGTGCCTTATAAGTTATAAATTATTAATATTCTTACAGCTATGGCATCCATTGGAAATGATTGTGTCATGGTTAATACTGTGATGATACTGATGGTGAATTTTCGCTTTAGCCTTTAGACTCGACTCGTATGTAGTCTTGTTTGGTATATCTGAAGTTGGTGACTTCACCGGCATGATGGGTAACTGCTAAGGTGGCTAGTATGCTGTTGCCTACACTTAGAATAGTCTCTTGATTATGCATTTGTATGGAAGCTAATAGTCTCTTGATTATGCATTTGTATGGAAGCTAATGTTTTGTTTGTTTAAATTTCAGAAAGATATGCCTAGAACAAGTGAAGCTACTTTATCCAATCCCAGGGCTCCATATGATGAGGATGTGGCTAAGGTTTTACAGGCCATCAAGCAAATGGCTGTCCCTGCGCTTGAGGGCACATCCGGAGTAGATCGGAGGCTGAAATTTTTGAAGGTTTTCATTAGTCTGTCGCCCCCGCAGTATGCAGGAAATCCTGATGAACCGTTAGAAGGGGCGGAGTGGCTTGCAAGGATAAAGCAATGTTTTGATGTAAGTGATGTCCCCGATGACCTAAAAGTGGGGTTTGCCACATACTGTCTTACTGGAGCGGCTCACCACTGGTGGGAATTTGTTAAAAGGATGCGTGATGTTAAATCCATCACTTGGGCAGAATTTGAGGAGCTGTTTTTGAATATATATTTTCCTCAAACTATAAGCGCTGCTAAACGCGAAGAATTTCTAGGGTTGAGCCAAGGAAACATGACCGTTGCTCAGTATGCATCTAAGTTCCTTGAGCTAGCATGGTATGCACGAACTAATCTTGTGAGGTCAGATGAATTTGCAGCATCAGAGTTTCTAAGTGGACTGAGACCTTCCATAAGACCAAGGGTAGCTCTATTCAATACTTATGATGGCATGGTTGCAGCGGCGTTGAGAGTGGAACAATCTTTGGAGGACAGCGAGGAAGAGTCGTTTGAGGAAGCTTCTGGTGTAGGAGAAAAAAGGCCAAGAAAGCAGTACATTTGCCACCACTGCGGCGAGCCTGGTCATATTCGGCCTAATTGCCCGGAATTAAACTCGCGTGGTTTTTGAAAGGTTTATCAAAATCTCATCCTAATGATGGAAGGGAAAAATGGTTTCAATTCCAAGTTAATAGTGTGGGGATAATAGTTTGTAAGACTTTCAATATGCCTGGCTTTTGTTTTGGTATGTATCTGTCTGTGTGACTTTTGTTCCCTTGGACCTTCGTGAATAGAGAATCTATTTTGTAGAGGTTATAAGTGTCACTTGCCAGGTGCTAATCAATGAAATCCCAATTATATATATAGGGGTTAAGATTCAGGACACATGCTTTTGACACTTATTTTGTAGGCCGCATTTTGGAATCAAAAGAAAAGGGTACTAAATGTAAAATTTCACATTTTCAAGAAGGCCACAATCAATAAACTCATTGTAATGGACAAAAAGTTTTATTTCATTTTTATTTTGACGAAGTTTTATTTCATGAGTCTATCATATTTTTGGCATTATAAACTTATTCACGTTGAAATACAAAAGGTAGAAAATGATATCATGATATTTGAAAAATGTTAAAATTTATCATGATTGTTGAGGCATCTTAGCTCTGTGAACCTGGCTGTTGTTGAAGCCCGAATGGAAGCAAGTTGTCAAAGAATTTGAAACTAGACTTGATAATACAAATATGAAATAAAAAATTTAACCTTGTATGTCTCTTATAACGCATCTTGATTAAAAAAAACCTCTCACGCGTATGAGTACGTGCATGAAGGTTATATATATTGTTACAACCCGTATTTTTCACTGAATAAATCTCTCTTTCCACCTCACTCTCCTCTCTCTCCCTACCAATATTTTTCACTGAAATATTGACTGAGTAATTTACTAAAAGGAGCGACTGTACATAAAAATCTCTGATATTTCAATTTCGAAGTACTAGAAGAAAAGACGAAGGCATTGAATTTTGGGATTATGAGTGATGTGGGAGGAAAAGTGAAAGGAAGTCAAGTTTTTCATGGCTATTCATGAAGAATCATGTTTGAATTCATGGCTAGTAGCCAAAAACCTAAGAACGATACTTTTGTTTGTATTCTATTTTTGTGCAATTTTTTAGTTTCCTCTAACATCCTAACAAGTGCCGCCAAACAATTGCGTGTCTTATACGATACTATTGTCTAAAAGTCTCATGATACCATTGAAATTTTTTTTTTGGTCGAAACATGATAATTGAATTGATAAACATTTAAACACAACGCAAGTTGTCATCCCATATTTATAGACATTTGAAGAGAAATAAAAGTTTAAATAACCTTTAATATTTATTTTCAATTTCGTATGATAAATGCGTGACTGTTTTGGTAGGGAAATTGTACACAAATGTTCATGGTTTTGCCATTTCAAATTGGAAATGGGTATTTTATGAAAGAGAGCTACTAGACCTACCCCATTGTTTTATTTTTCCATCACGTTATAATCTCACCCACCTTAAAAAGTTAAAAAAATAAAATGTTATTTTCTCACCCACTATTATTCCCAAAATAACCTTTAATATATATGTACATATGAAATTATAAAATTGTCTCTTAAAAAATATAACAAATAATATGTAAATGAAAACCACTAAGGTCTGCAAATTCAAATGGAAACGACAGAGATATCCAAATTCAAAAGAATTCGACAACGACAAATTTGAAAATACGATGGACAAATTCAAATGACCTACACACAAATTAGTCTTCTACCTTTTCAATGGAAACATAATCTTCTACCTCTTCTGTAGAAGCGTCATCTTCTACCTATTCAATGAAAAAGTCATCTTCTAAGTCCGTTGCTATTTTTTACTTTCTCTGAATGAAAGGAGATGAAAATATGAGTTAGGGTTTAAGGTAGACAAATTGTCTCCTGGTTTTTTTTTTTTTTAATTAAGCAAAACAAGATAATTAATGTTTTTATCAGTCTTTTTGTAAATGGACAAATTTGTAATTAAAAAATTCATTAAAAGGTGGGTGTGAAGATAAAACATTGGGGTGTGAATAACATCACTCTTTATGAAATATTACTTCATAAAATATTCATTTATTCAAGGCAGATGTATTCTAATTTTTACCAAGTGTTTTTAACCAAATAAATTTAAATAAATATGCAAGTGTGGCATTAAAAATTTGAAAATAGATCCAAAGATTTGAATGACACCCCAGATTTAATCTGTATATTTGATTCACATACTCATTTTTACTTTTTACATACTCTGGTTAATTTTTTGTTAGTTATCTTCTTCAATTAATTTGATCTGATGGTCAAAAATTGAAAATGGTGTGTGAGAAATAAAAATGAATGTGTGAATATTAACTTAACCTTTTAGGTTAAGTTTCATTGAAAATATATAGCTAGACTAAGAGTTAATTAACCATTGGCTTAGTTTTAAACTAATTGGTAATAAGTAGAATGGTGAGCAACCAACCACCATTTGAGGATAATGAGAATTACCACCACTGAGAGTGGTGAATAAAAATACACTCTAAAATATCTAGTAATTTGCATTTCTTCATCTAAAATGTTAGTGAATTCCCTTTTCTCCACACGGTCTCAAGAATATTCATCGGCCCCTTGCCATTACAAAAGATTTTCCCGTTTGCGCAAAACATAGAAATGTACTTCCCATGTTATTAGACCCAAAGTTTTTAATTTATCGTTCTAATTGTATAATGACATGATGATATGTGGTATTGTTTGTGGTCTGAACATACTAAAATAATCTCTCAGGACGAGAGTCCAATTTAGAACCGATTTTTCAGCGTGACTGAAATACGGGATGATACATCACGTGTCATTATACAACTGATGAAATATACGGGGTAAATTACATAAAACTACCTCAATTATTGGGTCATTAACAGTTTCATACCTCGTCTTTAAAAAAGTTTCAATGTCATACCTTATCTTCGAATTTGTTGCAATGTCATACCTTCCGTCAGTTGTCTGTCAATTTTTCTGTTAAAATGCTGACGTGGGTTGAAATATTATTAAAAAATTATTAAAAACTAAAACAAAAAGCATTTAATATTTTTTAAATATTAAAATAATAATTAATTATATTAAAAAAAAAACCTCAGTTCGTCTACCCCCCACCCCCAACCCTCCTCTTTTCTCCCCCATCTTCATCTTCTTCCCCCGATCCCCTACCTGCAACCCAGAAAAAAAAAAAAAAAAAAAAAAAAAAAAAAAAAAAAAAAAAAAAAAAAAAACTCAGTTCGTCTTCCCCTTGCACCCGCACCCATCCTCTTCCCTCCTCTACACACCCCACTCCTTAAATCCACACCCATTCCTCCCATTTTCTCCGCGCCCAGGTTCGCCACCCACAAAATTGGCCTAGCAAAGGGGGTTTCCCGATTCCACCTCACGAACCCGGCGATGGCGACGTAGACGAGATATGGGTTTTTTTTTTCTAGGTTGCAGGTAGGGGGTTGGGGGAAGAAGATGAAGATGGGGGAGAAGAGAGGAGGAGGAGGGTGGGGGGAAGATGGAATTGAGGGGTTTTTTTTTTTTTTTTTTTTTTTTTTTTTCTGGGTTGCAGGGTAAAGAAGATGAAGATGGGGGAGAAGAGAGGAGGAGGAGGAGGAGGAGGAGGAGGGGGGAGAAGACGAACTGAATGGTTTTTTTTCTTTTTTTTTTCTGGGTTGCAGGGTAGGGGGTCGGGGAAGAAGATGAAGATGGATGAGGAGGAGGAGGAGGAGGAGGAGGGGACGAACTGAAGTGTTTTTTTAATTTTTTATTAATAATTAATTATTATTTTAACATTTAAAAAATATTATTATTATTTGTTTTTTTTGTTTTTATTAATATTTTATTAAAATTTTAATAATATTTCAAGCAACGTCAACATTTTAACAGAAAAATTGACAGACAACTGATGAAAGGTATGACATTGCAACAAATTCGAAGATAAGGTATGACATCGAAACTTTTTAAATACGAGGTATGAAACTGTTAATGACCCAATAGTTGAGGTAATTTTATGTAATTTATCTAAATATACGAGTTAAAATATTAATAACTTAAAAAATAAAATATAAAATATTCTATCACTTGTATCGTGTACCGTGTTTGGATCACAAAAAAAAATTTCTCGAGTTCCAGACCGAAATGTTTTGTTATGAAAAGCCGAGCTGCTGGCGAGCGAACCAAAAAATTCCATCGGCTCCGGCGAAACAAGCAAACAGATGAATCGGGATCATCCAGCAGTGAAGGTGAAAGTTGATATGAAGGTTAGTTACGTACTGATTCTGATTCTCTATGGGTTTCCTCGTGCAACATCCTAGATTATTTTCTGTTGTTGGGAGTCGGAGAATTTAAAGCGATAAGTTCAATTAATCACAAAGCAGAAAGCTTGACCAACAAATTTCAATCACAACTTGGTGTAAGTTGTGAAATTGATTAATGTAATTGCAGTAACCAGCTGAAATACTAGTTGTATAGCACTGAACTTGTACTTTAGGGATGATGTAACCATTGAGTTTATTGAATTTGATGGTATTGAATTGAAGTTATGCATGCAAGGTTCCAGCAACCCCAAGCCAGCGCTCCCCGCTATGCGATGGTTGGAAACATCTATCTTACGCAGTCTTATCCTTACTTTGTAATGAGGCTGTTTCCACGACTTGAAGACGTTACCTTTCGGTCACAAAGGCGCAACATTTCTGTTGCGCCAAGAAAAATTTATGGAATGCGAACTACAAGAAAGTGTGTCAAAATGTGTGTCCCCCTTGATCTGAACCATATGTATGTGAACTTTAGTTGATGGATCTGTCAAATAAGCTTATTTGAGGGATGCCATTGTAGGTCTTACTCCACATTATATTTCAAACAATTCAACCGTTTTCTACCAACAATTACTCAAATCATAAACCATATGACTGTTTGGATTAAATGGTAGGCATTTTAGTGTTCCTTTGACCAAAAGAAAAACTCTCTGGGATTAATATAATTGGTTCTTTAGATAAAGATTACAGTCAGTTCTCTTCTTATTTTTTTTATGACGAATACCTCATTGTTTGTTGTTGCTTGACTACTCCTCCAATATTTTGTGGTGTATAATGAACCTAGAAGGGTTTTTAGTGTCTTCCCGGCTCTGCTTCTTCGGCCTCTTGTCTTGTACTCAAGTGTGTGTGTGTGTGTGTGTGTGTGTTACTTAGGAGTTAAAGAAAGTTTTGTTGGCTAAGTATAGCATACCCAGTTTAAGATATTTTGCAAGTGTTATATTATTTTAACTAATTTTTTTCTTACACATATTGCTTGTTATAAGTTTTAACGGAGGACTTGGCATAAAACCGAGCGCGTCTAGGATTCATACAGCCAACCCCACCTAATGGGAAAAGGCTTTGTTGTTGTTGTTGTTAGTAAATAATTCTTTTGGTAGTTTATATATCAAAAGAAGTAGAATGCCAGGATAATCCCAACAAAATTAGTAAGTCAAAGCCATCCTGTGAGATGGAACTTATCATCAAGATTCATAAAAAAAAAATTTGGCTTCATCAGAGATTGTACTTTCTGATTATACTGTGGATGATGATACAAGGGACAGGTGGTATGAGTTGGAGGCAAGTTACCTCGATAAACAGAACACATGCATAAATGCAGTCAAAGGGTGTGCCATTTGTGGCATCTAGGATGGATGAGACCGGAAAGCCAAGAGGTGATCGAGTCCTTCCTGGAGTTGAAGAGAAGATGAGCATACTTGTTATCTTCCAAATTTTACGCAAGAATAACATAGCATTATTCATGGCCTATAATGATCCTGAAGTTCAGATTGATTGGCTTAAGAAATTATGGAGCGAATGCGTCTAGTAGTCGTTCTCCTTTCGCTTTACCTATTGAATTACGTCTTCTCTAGTAATTTAGCATCGCTTGTGTTTCTTAAGAGTTGCATTAATTACGATGATAAGTCTTAGGTGTTTCTGTTGTCAAACTCAGATTGATGATGCAGCTGCAGTGTTGCTTGGGTCTGTTTTCTGATTCTCTTTTATAAGAAAAACCAAAGAAAAAGTATACTGTGTTCCACCTCTTGAGAGTGCCTTGTATTTACAAATTATTAATATTCTTACAGCTATGCGGTCCATTAGAAATGATTGTGTCATGGTGAATACTGATGATGTACTTGTTTGGTATTTTTGAAGTTGGTAGACTTCAGCGGCGTGACGGGTAATTGCTAAGGTGGCTGGTATGCTGTTGGCTACACTGGGAACAGTCTCTTGATTATGCATTTGTATGGAAGCTAATGTTTTGTTTGTTAAAATTTCAGAAAGATATGCCTAGAACAGGTGAAGCCACTTCATCCAATCCCAGGGCTCCACATGATGAGGTCGTGGCTAGGGTTTTTCAAGCCATGAAGAAAATGGCTGACCTTGCGCTTGAAGGCACATCCGAAGTAAATCGGAGGCTGAAATTTTTGAAGGTTTTCATTAGTCTATCACCCCCGCAGTATGCAGGAAATCCTGATGAACCGTTAGAAGGGGTGGAGTGGCTCAAAAGGATAAAGCAATGTTTTGAAGTAAGTGATGTCCCCGAAGACTTAAAAGTTGGGTTTGCCACATACTGTCTTACTGGACCGGCGCACTGCTGGTGGGAATTTGTGAAAAGGAGACGTGATGTTATATCCATCACTTGGGCAGAATTTGAGGAGCTGTTTTTGAATAACTATTTTCCTGAGACTACTAGGCTGGCTAAATACGACGAATTTCTACGGTTAACCCAACAAAACATGACTATTGCTCAGTTGTCATCTAAGTTACTTGAGCTATCATGGTATGCACGACCTAATCTTGTGAGTTCAGATAAATATAAAGCATGGAAGTTTCTAAGGGCACTGAGGCCTTCCATAAGAACAAGGGTAGCTCAATTCAGTACTTATGATGACATTGTCGCAGCGGCGTTGAGAGTGGAACAATCTTTGGAGGACAGCGAGGAAGAGTCGTTTGAGGAAGCTTCTGGTGCAGGGGGAAAAGGGCCAAGAAAGCAGTACATTTGCCATCACTGCGGCGAGCCTGGTCATATTCGGCCTAAGTGCCCGGAATTAAACTCGCGTGCTTTTTGAAAGTTTTATCAAAGTCTCGTCCTAACGATGGAAGGCAAAAATTGTTTCAACTCCAAGTTAATAGTGTATGGATAATAGTTTGTAGACTTTCGATATGCCTGGCTTTTGTATTGGTCTGTATCTGTGTGTCTGACTTTTCTGCCTTTGGACCTTTGTGAATAGAGAATCTGTTTTGTAGAGGTTAAAGTGTTGCTAGTTGCCAATCAATGGAATCCCCATTTTATATATATATATATATATATATAGGGTTTAAGATTCAGAGACACACTTTTGACACACATTTTGATATCTATATTGTAGGGCTCATTTTGCAATGTATTTTAACGATTCGAACCGTTGATATTTTAGTACATCATTCGTAGATGGTTCTAACAAAAAATTAGACATTCAAAACCGTTAAGACATTTGTTTGTAGGGAAGAAAATAGATGAATATGGTTTTGCTAAGAAACACTAAATTTATTCCAAAGGTCATATAGTTTTGAATTTGGGTGATTTTTGGTAGACAATTATCTTTGAGGTGTGGTGTAAAAGATAGACAATTGAATTGTTGAAATATATTAAGAAGTGGACCTCACAAAAATGTATGTCTAAAGCATGTGTCCCCGAATCTTATTTATATTACCTTTATGCAAAGGGATTCTCATTTTTTTTTTCAAAAAATGGGAATTAGATGTAGGGTCCACTCCACATCGAACTTCAACGTTATAAATTGTCTATTTTGTAAGTCTCGATTCATAGATCATTTTTGAAAAAATTCAATTCAATCCGAAACTATTTGTCTATTTAATTATCAAAATAAAATTTCATTGTTTCTTATATAATAATATTCGTTAATTTTTTTTAATACAATTAGATGTCTTAAATATTTCTTATTTGGTTAATATTTTGTAAGGATGATTTATGAGGTGTAACTTGAAAAATAGATGGTTTGGATTGTTACAGTTTGATGTGGTGTGGACCCCACAAATAATCTCTATTTTTATAAATAAAAAAAGGGTAAATTACATAATACCCCCTTAGGTTTGAGGTCTATTACAACCTCATACAACATCTTTAAAACATTTCACTTTCCTACCTCACGTACTATTTTATTTCAAATTAATACCTCTGTTAGATTTTCCATCCATTAGTCTGTTAAATGCTGACGTGACTGCCACATTTGTGCTGATGTGGCTACCATGTGGTAAAAAAATTAATTTTTTATACATTAAAAATATTATAATATTAACCCTATTAAAGAAAAAAAAACCAGAAAAACCCAAACCAAGAAATCTTTTCTCGAGTCTTTCTCGAATCTCTCTCTTGGACTCTCTCCCTGACAGTACACCCACGCATGCACCCATCTACACACCCACACCACCGACGACACACCACCACCACCACCGTGGACTTTCTCAGGTCACTCTTCTCTCTCATTTTGTCGGCTTTTCCGTACGACTTTTCCCTACGATCTATATACAAAAAAGAGCATAGAGTCAAGGGAAAGAGTTTTGTACCTTGGATTGGTTGTGGGATAGTCGAAGTCAGCCGAGATCTGGCTCGAAACTCACAGGGTTTGCCGGAGCTAGTTCTCGGTTTCTGAGCTTCACCTAGCTCCACAGAGACGAGGAGAGTGAGAGAGAGACCATTCCCCCAACCACCTCATCTCCTCCACTATCTTCACCTCCCCTCACATCCAAAAACCCACCACTTCCCACCCCACCCCCACCTCCCTCGCAACGCCCGACCCAGAACCCCCATTATGGGTCTGAGCTCTTCAACATCGACGATGACCGCAAAGGAGTGTCGAGAAAGTTCGATGTCGAAGTGAGAGATGAGGAGAATAACGAAGGTGGAGAATAAGGTAATGTTTTGGATTTGGATGCGAATGCAGATGCGGAGTTCAAGACGATGAAGAAGTTGATGGATCTGGAATGGGAGAAGAAGAAAGGTAAGGGTAGGGATTTGAAGGACATTGCAAGGACATTTTGGGGGACGGCATCAATTTTGAGCAGGAAGGTGAGGCAATGTCGGTGGAAGCAGAAGATGAAGAAGGTTGAGAACGAGGGTTTTGTGGCGGAGAAACGGCGGGAGACCCAGTTGGATGTCAATGACGAGCCTCGGGATTCTTGGGACGGGTTGGGTCCGAGAGCCGCCCAGCCGAGGCTGACTCAGATGGTTTCGGTTGTGGAAGAAAACTAGGAGGAAGGTGGGGTGGGGGGTGTTGCGAGGGAGGTGAAGAGAGTGGAGGAGATGAGGTGGTGAGGGGAATGGGTTTTTGGGTTTTCAGGTTTTTTTTATTTTTATCTTTATTTTTTTTATATTTTATAATAGAGTAAATTATTATAATATTTTTAATGTATAAAAAATTATTATTTTTTATAATAGACCTCAAACCTGATGAGGTATTATGTAATTTACCCTAAAAAAAGGAACCCTTTCCTTAAATGTTTCCTCTCTCTATACATAAATGTATAGAGGGTGGATCCATGACACCACGTTTATAACACAATATTTGACACAAGTTTTGAACCATTGGATTAGTCCACTTTTAATAATTGAGTTGTAGTCTATAATTTATTTGGCATAACTTTTCGTAAAAATAAAACATTTGAATTAAAAATCCGAAAGCTTTCTATTTATAACATCTTTTCCAAAAACAATCCACTTACTTTCCGACCTTTTCGTCTTCATCGTCTCCTACGAACTTTTCTTTTCGTATTCATCCGCTCTTATTTGATTGAAAAGAAATAAGATAATGAAACTTATTCTGAAACTTGTCTCCAATGAAACTTTTCGTCTTCACCCCCTCTTATTTTTATTGTCCCACATTTTTTCTTTCCATTCTCTTATTGCTTCCTAAACCCTTTTTTTTTCTTCCGCACAAAGCTTCGTACCCCATGGAACTCATCATCACTGCTATGGTGCTTTGATTATTCCTTCAATTTTCACACCTGTGTATATTATTTTGTAGCCATGGAAGTTATGTATGATTCCTATACTGTTAATAAAACACCAAACTAGCTTAGACTATAACTCTTCACTACCAAATCCGGTGAAAGTCTAAACTAGAGCAGACCATTAAGATGATGGACACGGATAAAAATGAGAATGAAACATAATTTAATGAAAATAACTAATGATAGATGAGGGAGTCTAAACTATAAGAACATACTATGGCTTGACCTCATCTTTAGTTACGTAGGCAGTCTAACAAAGAGGTCAAATGTAGCCATGAAATAAAGGATAAGTCATTGCGCTGTTAAACCATTTATTTGAGTCTTTGGTCATGTTTGAGAGGCGAAGCATGATAGATCTTCAAGTACTTGGTGACATCATGTGTCGATTCTAGACGTATCTTGAAATCGAGGTGTGATAGAAGTCCCCTTCTAGAATTTGACCTTGCCCAGGAGATGTTTTGGTGCAATTTGTTTGTTTTTAGTTTTTAAGGCCCATTCAATGGTTTCTATTGTTTTGGCATTGTTGGCCACACAAAAATTATTAGTGTTTGAATTGGTGACCATTTGAATGACGTTGTGTATATAATGAATTGAACTTTTTTGTTCGTTTCTTCTAATTTTATCATCAAGATTTTGATTGTGTGGACCTCATGAATCTTCCTATTCAACCTGAAAATTGTATTCATCAGATGAAGATGCATAATGAGTTTTCATAATTGAAAGGAATTAGTGATATTTCAAAGGAATTGGTGAAGATCAGGAGGTGAGAAAACTACAAGTTAGTGCATAAATTCATTATATTGGGGTTTGGTGTTACCAGTTGCAACCGCTTTGGTGGAGAGAGCGTTTGCTGCTATGAAAATTGTGAAAACATCATAGCTTAATAACATAAGAAATCAATGATTGAGTGATAGCATGGTTGTTTATATTGAGCGATATGTTTCTACTTTTATTGATAATGAACGTATTATGCTATGTTTTTATGACATGAAACTTTGCCACAACAATTAATTTTTTTATGTGGTAAATTATGAACAAAATAATATTGTTTATTATCTAAAAGGATTTATAGTTGTCTTTATTTTTTAGAACCTTTTTACCCTTTTAAATTTCATTCCTCCATTCGACAATTCTTGACTTCACCATTGGTCAAGACTACAAAAGGCACATCAATATTTTGAGTAAGGAGATCAAAAGAAAAGGGTACTAAACGTAAGATATCACATTTTGAACAAGGCGACAATCAATAAACTCAATTGCAATGGACGAAAAATTTGATTTCATTTTTTATTTTGACAAAGTTTTGTTTCATTAGTCTATCACACTTTTGGCATTTTAAACTTATCCATGGAGGTTTCTATATAAAATATATATATATATATATATATATATATATATCTCTTTAATTCGCGTTGAAATACAAAAGGTAGAAAATTCTTTTCATGTTAAAATTTAGCTTGAGACATCTTCGCTCGGTGAACCTGGCTGTTATTGAAGCCCGAATGTAAGCAAGCCGACAAAGAATTTCGGAACTAAACTTGATAAATATATATGTGACAAATAATATAGAACTTTGTATGTTGCTCATAGCACGTTTTGATTATAAAAATAATAATAATAATAATAAAAAAAAAAGCTCACATGAGTATGATTGCGTGCATGAATGTTGTATATATAGTCCCACCAAAACTCCATGTGAAATCTCTCTACGCCTCTCTCTATTCTCTCCTTACTAATATTTTTCACTGAAATCTCGACGGAGTTATTTATTAAGAGGAACGCTTGTACACAAAAAAAAAACTCCTATATTTCAGTTTCGAAGTACCAAAATAAAGAGAAAGACATTTAATTTTCGGATTATGGGTGATCTAGGAGGAAAAGTTGAAGGAAGTCAAGTTTTTCATGGCTATTCATGAGGAATCGTGTTTGAATTTGTGCTTGGTAGCCAAAACCCTAAGAACAATTCTTTTGTTTAGATCCTATTTTTCTCCACATTTTAGTTTTCTCTAACATCCTAACAAGTGTTGTGAAAAAATTGCATGTCTTATGCGATACTATTTGTGGATGCAAATTTCTTTCTTCTTGTTCTTAGACAAAATTGCACCTACAAAACAAATAACACCTTAGGTCAAAGGTCAAAAGTCTTACGTGCCCACGATGAAAAGCATCACGTGCCCACGATGAAAAGCCTCACGTGCCCACGATGAATGGCTTTGGCCGAAGAACCTCTGATGCCAAAATTAGA